ACTGTGGCTCAAGTGGTAGAGTGCTAGCCTTGAGCTGAAGAGCTGAGGGACAGCGCCCAGGCCCAGAGTTCAGGCCCCATGACCGGACCCAAAAAATTAAAAAAAAATATTCCTAATCTGTATTCGTAAGCTTTATAGCTTAGCCTAACTCATCCTAACTGCACTCAAGAAAGCTTATGTGAGATTACAGTTGGGCAGTCATCTCACAAGCACTGACTCCCTGAGGTAGGCTATTGGATGCTGTACAGAATGGTTGTTTGTAGCCAGGCGCCAATGGCTCGTGCCTGTCATCCTAGTTACTCAGGAGTCAGATCTGAGGATTGTGTTCCAAGCCGGCCTGGGCAGGAAACTCCCTGAGACTCTTACCTCCAATAAACTACTTGAAAAAGCTGGAAGTGGTGGTGTGGCTCAAATGGTAGAGAGCTCGCCTTGAGCAAAAGCAGCTCTGGGTCAGTGCCCAGGCACAGAGTTCAAGCCTCAGCACTGGCAACATAAATAAATAAAAAAAAAAATCCCAGAATGTTTTTTTTTGTGTTGTGCTTGCTTTTGTACCGCTATGAGGTAAAAATTCAAAGTTGAACTATGAAGAGGCAGGGACTGTCCAGCTGATTTGAAATGTAAAGGAGGCCCATGTCGCTGGGAAAACCCTATGCTACTGGAGACCCTGCCTTGCCCAGCCGGGCAGGGCAGTGACAATCCTCGATGTAGTGCAGCTCTCGAGGGAGCTGTCTTTAAATTGTCTTTAAATCCTGAGTAAGCAGGCTTGATTAAAGAGAGTGAGCCGGAGGTTAGGGATCCCGGAGAGTGTGGAGACAATACAGCCAGATGCTACTCACATGGATGTTTGTCTCAAACTCAGAGGTGATGTGGGAGTAGACGGCGAGCGCAGGCAGGGACACCAGGATGGCCCCGATGCAGTGACGAGGGAGCCACCCTGCGATCCATTCCAGGAGCCGCTTCGTGCACGCCATGACGTCCTCCAGGAAGAACACCATTCTGGCTCGGGAGAGGAAGGCAGCAGGGGAGCCATGGGTCAGCCTTCCGGAACTGAGGCCACGGTGCCTGGACCGCTGTCCTAGGAGTGGGGAGTGGGTGCCACGGGCTCCGCATCCCTCACAGTGTGAACAGGCAGATGAACAGCCCTCGCTCTGGCTCCTCACACCTGACTTACAAGGTCACCTGATGCACTGTGGTCAAAATGTGCTTGTCAAGAGCCAAGCTCATGCCTTTGTGGGTCCAAGAGAGCATGTAACAGACCCCAAGTAGAGTCTACTACAGGGCTGCCACCACTGTCCCCTGCTCCGACCTGCTTCCATGGCAGATCCTGAATGGGGCCACTCTAGAGGTGATCTGCGGGTCCACAATAGAGGAGGGTAGCTACTGGCATCCAGTGGGCTAAAGCCAGGGATGGAGGTGCCCTGCCAGGCTCAGGCAAGTGCCACACAGAGAAGCTCCACCTCGCATCTCACATAACTGCCCTGGCAGCTGGTGATAACATTGTAGCCTAGGGCCCAGTTGCATTCTGTGTGCCAACAGTGAAGTATTAAAGGGACTGTGACTCCTTTGTAAACCAAGTGAAGGCTGTCTTTTGTTTAGTTTGGGTCACAAAGGGTGGCTCCGCATTTCAGAAAGTCACACCATCACGGTCCTGGCCACTAACTGTACACCCCATGCTTCCAGCTATCACATTTGCACCCGGGGTCCTGAGGGAAGACCGTAGACAGCTTTGTCGTTGCCCAGAGGGCATGGATCCCGTGAAGCAATGCAGATTTTAAGCATCCCCTTTCCTTTCCTTCTCTTTCTCTTTTCCTTTCCCTTTCTCTTTCTCTCCCCTTCCCTCTCCTCCCCTCCCCTCCCCTCTGCCATTTCCCTTTCCTTTTCATGCCTTTCCAATTAATCAGATCCTCTTGCTTGCTAGGCAGGTGTTCTATTGTAGAGCCACATTTCCAGCCCTTAAATGACTTTCATTTCTCTTTAATATTACAGAGATCATGTGTGTGTGTGTGTGTGTGTGTGTGTGTATGTGTGTGTGTGCTGATACTGGGGCTTGAACTCAGGGCCTTGGGCTCTCCTGCAGCTTTTTCACTCAAGGCTGGCACTCTACCAGTTGATCCATGACTCCATTTCTGGCTTTTTACTGGTTAATCTGAGATAAGAGTCTCATGAATTTTCTGCTCAGGTTGGCTTCCAACTACAATCCTCAGATCTCATCCTCCTGAGTAGTTGGGATTACAGGCGTGAGCCACTAGCATTCAGCCAGAGACAGCATTCTTCTATTTTTGCAGCTGTGTTTTCTAGGAGGTAGGTTGTATCTCAGGAGGGCAATATTAATGTGATAAAATTGGTTTTATGAAGAGCAGGCAGCTGAGTGTATGGGCTGGGAATCTCAGATGAGAGAGGGTAGGTCTTGACTGAGTGAGGAGCTGTTGAGTTGGGGTAGGCCAGCAGTTGGAAGCGGAGGAGAAAATACTGGGGGCCTTCCTGGGATGTTTGCTCCCTGTGTCCTTCTTCCTCCATCATTTCCTGTCTTTTTGCTTCTCCCGTTTACCCTCTAATTTAGGGGATCCAGGGATGTGGTGGTGGCAGAGGGGCTGTGGAGGGAACCCACCTTCTCTAGCAAACAGTCTGACTATGATGAGGGCTAGCATCTGTGAAAAGGGTGCTGTGGAGCAGAAATGAAACCAAATACCTGGAGAGAAGCTCAGAGGGACAGCTGGCTCCAGACTCCTGGCCATTGTGTTGCAGTCAGGAGCCAGAAGAGGGAGCTAAAGGCTAAGCACTGCAGAGCAGCCCTGGGGCTGGCACTCACCTGATGGATACGACCAGGGACAGCACCTCCAGCAGCAGGTCTGCTCCAAAGACAGCAAGGGCAGCTGGTGGGGGAGGCGTGGCAGTGGCCCCATACTTCAGGAAGCAGGTGATGGAGAGAATCAGGAACACTGTTGTGGACAGAAACACATCCAGGAGGGAGCTGAAGGTGGCACTGGCGAATGTCTTCACAGGAGAATTCTTTATGACCTGTTTGGAGCAGGAGACTGGGATGAACTGATGTGACCAGGGACCACTGTTTACAGGGAAAATAGCAACAATTACTGAGTGCCTGCCTACTCTAGATGAGACACAGGCTGGTAGGTGTTGGAGACACACCATCTCCTTGCTGTTGCTTGATTTAACAAAGAGGAAGCTAAGGCACAGAGAGTTAAGCAGCTTTCCCAGGGTCATACAGCAGCTGATTATCAACCAGTCCACTCTATCTTACAGAGATACCAAATATTGATCTTGAATGATGAGTTACTGCCTGGCAGTTAGTGAGTCCACATCTGTAAAAGGAAAATGGCAGCAAATACAGAAGTCTCCACAGAAGGATGGGCTCCCAGATTCAAGGGATGTAAATACCGGATTAGACAGGTGAGGATGTGAGCAGCCACAGAGGATAGCTCCCAGAGACAGGTGAGGATGTGAGCAGCCACAGAGGATAGCTCCCAGAGAGGTGGAATGGGAGCGCATGGCTGTCAGAAATGAAATCTCCATGCAGGAGCCTGCCTGCCTCGCCAAGTGTGTGCTGGTGTACATGAAATGATACCTGTGGGGAGCTTGTAGTCTAATGGTGGGAGAGACAGCAACAGGACTTGCAGGAGGGCGTGTCAAATGTAATAAAAAGGCATGCTAGGGCTGGTAGGGAATTAAGCCAGGAGGAAATAGCCACGGCACTAACAGATCTGAGACAACTAATTCTAGTCTTTGCGTGGGCCGAACAGGGTCATGATCTCTGTGCTCTGAACAGGTTACAGGAGGAAATGCTCCTGATCTCACTCAACATATGCACAAGGAGGCCAAGGATCCCCCAAGGTCACACAGCAAACAAGGAGTCAGATAAACTGACTCCTAACTCCTTCCTGGGGGTCCTCCTGGGACATGGGTTCTGGTGAGAAGGAAGATAGCAGTAAATCACTGGAGATGCCTTCCAACTTTCTGCCTGCCCCAAGCAGGGCTCAGTTTGGGTGAGGCTAGAGGTGCACGGGAAGGGCAGGGCACGTAACAAGTCTTGCATCTGGTGCATGTTCCCTTCAGGACACACTGGCTCTGGTGTCCCAGCTCCAGCCAGACCCCCAAGAGCTGGGTGAGATAGGAGAAGGGGGAAGCTCAGATATGGGGTTGAGGCTACTGGTCAGCCCTGATCCCAAAGCTGGACCGGCCCAAGCTCACAGCCTGGATTATTTTCTGTAATGTCTTGTACCTCCCCCTGCCTTGGTCTCCTTTTGGAAACAGGGATAATACTTGTGCCTGTACTTTGTGGATGGAAAAGTTTGCATGAAAAACACCATGCTGAGCATGTGGACTGCCCTGTCCTCAGCAACAGCTCCCCATCTGTCTATCTACTCCCCACACGATCTTCATCAGATACAACGGGATAGAGCCACCTCTCACTCCAATCACTAGCTCTGGTCTTTGGCACATGTGCAGCACAAGCAGTCCACCTCCTGCCATGCATTCACCACTGCCCCTCAGAGGCAACTTGACTTGCTGGACACACCAGTCTCTCTTGTGTCTCTAAGGGCTGCAGGGGCTCGTTCCTCCCTCTGGAATGTCGCTCTTCCTTCACTGGTTAGTTGCTGTCCTCCTACTAACGTGGGCTGAGGAGTTACCACGTCTGGGCCCTCCGTCTGGGGCCGATGCCTTGCTGTCTGCTCACAGGGCACTATGGGACCTGTGGCTCTGTATTATCATCTCTGCTGCCCTGTCAGTGTACCCTTCTTTTCCCTGTCTCAGCACACAGAACCATCCGGGCAGCCCAGAGGCTCAGAAAGTGTTTGGTGACTAGGGGGGTGGTGACAAGCTGGTTGAGATGCCTGGCCTTGAACTCAGATAGACTGGCATCCAACTATACTTATGGGTGGGTCACCTATTTTACTTCTCTTAGCCTTGGCTTTATCTTTGGTAAAATAAGGATAGTAATCACTGGCTTCCTTAACGGGTTGTGAAGGTTAGGTGAAATCATGTTTTGCCTCACTGGCCACCAAATGGCCTATTCAAGAGTCCACTGAAGGACTGATTAGCTCATGTTAAGTCTTGTTCAGTGTCCCTGGGGAGTTAACAGAGAAGTTGGCCCCTCCTCTGCCTGGAGGCACAGACTGGCTCTGTCTTGTTCACAATGTCTGAACATAACAGACGCAAAGTCCTGCAGAATGGGAAAATGGAATTTAGTTGGAAGTGCTTTGGGTCCTTGATTTGTGTAGGTATGTTCTTTTGCCTCTGGAATGCTCTCGCTAAGTTTGAGCTTGGAGAAAGAACATTGGCATCTCCGGCTTCGAACATCAACCAGGCTCCACATTCTTGTCCTTACTCCTCCCAAGGACCTAGCTGAGCTCATTGGGTATGGGAGCCGTGCTGGATGCTGGAAGAGCACGGAGAAGGAAGAGACAAGATCTAAATATCATATAGGACTCCAACGTGGGGTACACACAAAGAAGAAAAGGGACACAGGGGAAGTAAAATCCAGCTGGGGCCAGTGAGGGCTCCGTGGGGAAAATGAGGAGTGACTATGAGGCAGAGGACCACAGTCAGGCACTGCTGGCTAGAGGGCGCTGTGGAACAAGGTCAAGGCCTGCTGAGCTCTTGGGCCCATTTCAAGGGGACAAAACAACACTCTCTTCTCTCTTTCTCTTTCTCCCACCCCTCTGTCTCTGTGTGCCTCCATCTTGTGTGGACCTGCAGTTGGCTCCCCCCAATAAACTCTTTTTCTGCATGAAAACAAAGCAAAACAAAACCACAAACCAACAAGAACACTATTTGGAGAAGAGAGCAGCTTAAGAACTGGAGACCTCCACAGGGCCAGAGACACCAGCTGCGGAGGAAAAGGTCTGATGACAATGAAGGTCAACTTTAAGATAAAGGACTGCAGAATGCATTGGATTTTTTTCCCCTCTGCAGAGATAAATTTACCTATAGTTGCAACTTGATGCTTACTGATGATGAGAAACCCAAACAAGCCTTCATTTTCTTGTTACTTGCTGAAGCAGAAAACAAACAGTGGCTGGCTCAAGTGTCTGGGAGATTCTGATGAGCAGACACAGGGAAAACTCACCTCTTGCTGGTAGCTGGTCCTGTAGGATCGTTCCAGCTCCTGATCCAGGAAGTTCAGGCTGAACTGATTGATAGGTGGCTTGAAGAAATAATCTTTCATCAGGCTAGAAGATACAACAAATGTAGCTGATCAACTTATCAGAAGATCACAATCAGCAACGTAAATGTCACTCACAGAGCACATCCCAAAAGCTGCCTGTGGAAGCCAATATGTGACCAGATTCACCATACCTTGTAGATCCCTTTCTCTGGAAAGTCTAGATATCAACCACATGTGCTGCTTTACCTCTATTGCAGAATGACCACCTCAATCATACCACTAGACCGTGCGATTGAGCACATACTCCTCTCTGAAAGAATTAGAAGACAGTGAAAAGAATGGGCAGACGTCTGCACTAAGGATACTTATACTGACTTGGAGACTTCAAGAGAAAACAGTTCAGAATGGGCTGTCCTGTACTGACAGTAATTACGACTGTACAAGCTAACAGGTTGCTACTGCAAATGGTGTTTAGTTAGTGTAATTGTAGTGCTGTTGTCACATACACAGATTGTGTGTGAAACTGAAAAATTATAAAGTTCAACCATTTTAATAGAGAAATCAAATATGCTTTATGTGACTCATTCTTTTATGAATTGCCAACAAACAGTAAGACCCTTTTATGTTACAGAAAATGACTAGAAAATTAAAGGAATGCTGATGTGATTTCAGAAGTCAAATATAGTTATGGCACACAGTGACTATTAGCATGAAGTCAGATAAAATGTAAGGAGTCTAGCCTGCACCTGACACACAGTAGGAGTCTGTAGGTACACTCCTTTTCTTGCTGCAGGATGGACTCTCTTTTCTGTGACAAGTGTGCAATAACTTACAACCTTCTCAGGGTCATAGGAGGGAAAATTCTGTCCCCTGATGTTGGCTCTCTCCTTTCTCTTCCACTCAGGAAATATAGACAGAGGGGAAACCACAGAGCAGCTGTGGGGATTCAGAGTTCACACAAGGAGGTTCTGCTTTTGGGAATTGGGGAAGACAGCTTATTTTGGACCAATCATCTCACAGACCACACAACAACTGTAAACTAGCAAACAAACAAACAACCCCCCTTACATCTGCCAGAACAGAGACCAGGGTGAGCAGAGAACAGAGAGGAGGGTGCACCCTGGGGAGAAGGGAGCGGTATCAGGTAGGTTTCCATGTTCGTTTTTGTTGTCTGTGGACTGAAGGTAGACATCAGTCAGCACCATTTGAGGGAAGGGTGGCTAACACTCAGATAGAAGAGCCCTAGTCTTGGATTTGGGTATGAGGTGCACCTGTGATTGAGTACTTGGGAGGCTGAGGCAGGAGGAACACAAGTTCTAGGCCAGCCTGTTCTACATAACAAGATTCTGGGGAAAGAAAGGAAAGGAAGAAGTGAGGAGAAGAATGAAAGGAGAAGGAATGGAAGGGGAAAGGGAAAAGGAAAGAGGAAAGTGGAAGAAAAGTTAAGGAAAAGAGAGAGGAGAAATAGACAGATGAGAAGAGAAATGAAAGAAAGAGAAAGAGAGAAGAGGTAGGAGTGGGAGGGGAGGGGAAACCACAGTCAAACTGGCTTAAGAAGCTAGAAAATACAGCTTGGGGTGACCACAGGGAGAATGAGGTTATAGATTCCAGAAGTGAAAGAACCATGGGCTCCAGATTCAACTCTGCTCAAATCTCAGCTGCTCTGTGATATATGCACATGCATGGCTGACTCCAAGCAACCCAGTTAAATCTAAAAGAACAGAGTGACCATGTTCGCCTGCTGAAACAAAAACGGATACTCTTCAGAAGAACATCAACAAGATTTAGACCTTGCAAACGCCATGCGCAATGTCTGTGACACAATCCAAAGTTAGTAGTCATACAGAGAATTTGTAAAACACGATTATATTCAACAGAAGAAAAGCAACCAACAGAGACCAACTCAAGATCACTCAGAGGTTGGGGTTACAAGTTGAGGGTTTAATAATGTAATCCATGCAACAACTACAATGTAAGGAATGAGAAGAGAGAGATGACCTCTACTGCAAGATTTCTTCATTTGAAGCGAAGGAATGCAGAGGAAAGACTAAGAAGACATTAAAAATCTACTGGTGTGTGCCTGTACCTCCCCAGCAGAACTATGACGTAGCATATCAGAGATGAGGGCAGATGTGCGGATAAGGCAGTTCAGGAAGAGGGAGGAGCTTCTTCGGACCTCCACCCTTGATGGCCGGGCCTTACCTGTCTTCTTTGATGACATCCACAAAATGGGCATCGGTTTTCTCACGGATGTTCTTGAACCTCAGTGGGAGGAGGGCTGACTGGTCCAAGCTCACACCTGCCCACCGCCCCTTTTCCTGAAGGATCTCGCACAAGGAGGTTTGGCTGTTGGTAAGCTTCTCCTCTTGAGGGGGGCTCAGAAGTCCATTCTGGGTTTTGGAGCTGGGCCCTCCTGAGACCTGCCTCAAGACAGAGAGGAGGCCAGCGTGGGGAGTGAAGCAGGGAGCTGAGCCAGCCTGAGCCCACGTGCCCCTCTGCCACGCTGCAGCCCTGGCCCTTCGCTTGTGCAGGTTCCCCCTCCCCAGAAATCAGTCTACATCTCTATCAACCTGTTTCTTGGTGAATTCACCTTAGGGAAAAGCCTTCCTTACTGGTCAGGCAGCCAGCAGAGTCAGGAGAGGGAGGCTGTGGAAAGAGCCAGTGATAGGGCTGAGATCCAGAAGTTTGCTTACCACAGCACTGGGGCTCTAGGGATTGGAAGAAGGTCCGTGGGACCTCTGGGGGGGCACAAGAAGGGGTTCAAGGACAGGAAGCCCAGGCTGCTGATGTGACACTGGGGAGCAGGCGGATGGCTAGTTGGGGCTTATGTTCTGAGAGACGAGGCTGACCAGCACACACACGTTCTCTGGCGGATGCTGGGGTGGGGAGTGAATGACAGAGAGCCCAGGGCCTTCCTGAGAGGCAGCCGCAGAGGCTTTCCTGAAGCTCTCAGGCTTTTACCCTGTTTTCCACTCCAGCCCTGCCGGATCTCCAAGCCCCATTTCCCAGGGAGCCTCCCTGCTGCTAAACCTGCCTCTGTGTCTCTTTCAGGGGTCACTGGAGGAGACCTCTGTTCTCTCTGCACCTCTGTACTCTACCTTAAGTTGAATCCAGCTTCCAGCCCACTAATCCACTTCCCCACTCCCACCCAGAGGTGTCAAAGCCAATGGCTAGTTTAGCATGTAATCATGCTACTGCACCAGGGTCAGCACCGACTCCCCCTTCTGCCCACACTTCCACCCCCACAGTGCCTTCGGCATGCTGTACCCCATGCTCTGCCCAGCCCCTCCCGCATACCCTTCACTGGTCTATTCAACACCCAGACTAGAAGGCAGTTCTGAGTTACACTCAGAACTAAGAAGTTGACGAGACAGGAATGTCACCTTAGGTGGATGCGCCAGGAGAGGAACTGACAGGAACAACAGCCATGAGCTTGTTACCTTGGTGCTGGCCTTGGGCTCGTCTTGACAGCCATTTTGTACAGCTCCTCCTTCTGCACCAGCTTCAGTTTTGGGAGCAAATGTGATTCCACATGAAGGGCAAGTCTGTGAGAAAAGCACAGGCGTAGGAACACTGACTGCAATGCACACTCCCAACACACCCGCTATGGTTGCAACTTGCTGTGCCCAGAAATCCTCTGACCAAACCGAAGGCTTACTGAACTACCAAGGAGGAGCTGAGAGCAAACCGGCAAAGTGAAGTAGAAAGACATGAGACTCCATCTGTCAACATGCAGAACAGCACCGTCCACACCAGCAGAGTGGAAACTCCGGTGTCAACTGACTGATGAATGGATGGACAAATAGTGGGCTTTCATACAAGGGAATAGTATTCAGCAGTGAAAAAACAATGACATACAGACATGTGATAATATGGGTGAACCTTGAGCTTATTGAGACTGACTGAACACAGTGAAAAATGTATAGGAAATGTCCAGAAAAGGAGGACCCACAGAGACATAAAGCAGATTAATAGTGGCTGGCCAGGGGGAGGGGGAGGAGGGGTAGAGAGTGATTTCATGGAGAAGCCCTAATTCCTATGATGATGGCATTAGACTCAGGGGCTTGGAGAGATGATTAGGTGGCAAAGTCGAGCCCCAAGGAAGTGGGTTACTAGCTTTACAAGAGACCCAGAGAATCCCTGTCACTTCCATCCTGAAAGAAGCAGCCATCTATGAACTATAAAGTGGAACCTCACCGGACATTAAATCTGGACTTCCCCACCTCAAGCCTCATGAAAAACAAGTTCCTGCTGTCCATACAGCCTTTTGCTGGAGCTGCCTCATGGATGGACACAGGCTTTCTTAGTAGTGATGAAGTAACTGTGTTCCAAAGTAACCCTGGTGATGGCCGCCCTATCTTGAAGATATACCGAAACCCACTGAATTGTACACTTTAGAGGGTCAGTTTCATTGTATGTGAATCATATCTAAACAAAGAGGTTACTAAGTAAACAAATTGGCCACTAACTGGCTCAGGAATGCCAAGCTTGGGTTTTTGAGCACTCACTGACAAAAGCTATTCTCTTAAGTCAGGCTGAAAGAGGTTCAAGAGGTTCACCCTGACAGAACTAGGAATTTATTCAGTCTGTAGGAATTAGCAGGTAAAACTCAGAGCTGACAGGTATAGTAGAAAGAGCAAGGCCGTGTTACTTCTCACAATCCAGGCAGTAAGTCTCAGCTCAATTACTATCCTGGAGACCTACTCACATCTGTCCCACCATCCAGGAGATGAGAGTGGAAACATTTTCATTTTTGCTAGTGCCAGAGCTTGAACTCCGGCCCTCAGGCTCTTGCCCTGATTTCTTGTTCATAACTGGTGCTCTACCACTTAACCCATTCCCCCAGCATAACTTTTTGTTGATTAACTGAAGATTAAGCAAAAAGTCTTACGTTTCTGCCTGTACTGGCTTTGAACTTCAATTCTCTCAGGCCTCAGCCTCCTAAGTAGCCTTATTGGAGATAGATATGTCTTAAAGATTAAATGAAACAGGTATGTATATAGCCTAGCATAGCTACTGCACCTGGCATATCCTTAATTGATTTGTTATTATTGATAATGTGGCCCAGCAGTCTAAGAATTGTTGTTGGGATAGAAACTTTCCATTTTTAACAAAGATGACAAACTACATACAGTAGGAGAGACAATTTCCTTGCAGTAGGAAGTCTTAAATGTTGGAAGACACTGTAGAGAGGAGTAGGAATCATTATTTTAGAAAGCTGATTTTTTTTGAACTTCATTTTGTCATTGTGGACTTGAACTCTGGACCTGGGCGCTGTCCCTCAGTTCTTCAGCTCTAGGCTAACGCTCTATCTCCTGAGCCTCAGTGCCACTTAGTGGAGATAAGGATCTCACAGACTTTCCTTCCCGGGCTGGCTTTGAACCGTGATCCTCAGCTCTCAGCCTCCTGAGTAGCTAGGATTATAGGCGTGAGCCAGCAGCACCCAGCTGAAAGTTGAATTTTTTAAAATCATTTTTTCCCAGCAATAAAATGATTTTGACAGCAGGAAAATGACTCAGATCACACCTCAAGTTAGATCACAGGCCTATGCTATAGTAAATAAGAGAACAGAAACGCTTCTGGGCATGGTGGGCACAGGCCTATAACCCTAGCACTCAGGAGGCCAAGGTAGGAAGATTGAAAGTTAAAGGCCAAACTGGGCTATGTAGTGGAAGCTTATTTAAAAAAAAATCCAAGAGTTTTGGAATCTGATATAATTCAGTTTAAACAGTTATACTCATTTGGAGTATGGAAATATATACTAGTTGCAAAATCAGCAACTAGTATATCTAGTAAACTGAAGTTCCTAGAGGTAACAACTGCTTATAATTCTTGAAAAAGTGATTAACAGTGCTAAAGTGTTCTAGCTGTTAATGACAGTAAAATGATCTTAAATCATGGTATTAACTGAGTTAATCTTCAAAACATAGGAAAGAGTCTATGAGGACACTGATTTTCTCAAACAAACCACACATGCACGCGCGTGCGCGCACACACAGAGTCCAATACCAAGCACACGGAGTGACCCTCTCAACTCCCAGTAGAGAAGTGAAGCAAATGTGCCCGACACCATGCCCAGCTAGACTCCAGAGGAGGCTGACACTATGGATTGATCCCTATGATCCTGGTACTGTGGACTCCTGGACCTCAATTCCCTGAAATGACCCAAGCCACCAATACTCTCTTGGTTCTCTAAAGTCCTCTACAATGATATCAAAAGAAGTTCCTAAGATCCATCCAAACAGCATACTCAATAGGCCAAGGTGTTTGCTGGCTGTTGTCTGGGTAACTTAAGATTCTTTGGAGACTACTCAAGCGCAAACTCTACATTTTCCCAGACTAGCTGTGCCTCAGCCCCTTCTGTGGATATGGGCTCTGAAGGGAAGATTACAAGTATTTCTCTAACACATCTGTGTTTGTTGTAAACACATTTTAATATAGGCATAGAGTAGGGTGAATACATAGAGTGATAAAATAGTTTTTCTTTTTCTCCAAGGCTATTTCTCATTGCAAGACAAATAATTCTGTAACTAATAGTTGTTCCTCTTCATAACTGTCACAAGAGGGAGCCGGGAAGCCTCTTGGGGAAGGAAACATCAGTCATGTTCTGGCTTTGCCTGGTTAGTGCACTGAACACGGCTAGTTGGCAAGGTGAACCAATATTACAGGCAGCATGAAATCACGTTGGGTATTGCGGGCAATGGTAATGCTGGCATTCCAATACTGAGCACCACTCTAATCTCTTCATGTGTACCAGTTTATGATACAGGCATTATGATTAGTCTTGTTTTCTTTTTTTTTTGGTCAGGTGTGGGGCTTGAACTCTGGGCCTGGGCGCTGTCCCTGAGCTCTTCAGCTTAAGGTGAGCACTCTACCACTTGAGCCACAGCGCCACTTCCGTTTTCTGGTAGTTAATTGGAGATAAGAGTCTCATGGGAATTTCCTGCCTGGGCTGGCTTTGAACCTCCCTCCTCACATCTCAGCCTCCTGAGTAGCTAGGATTACAGGCGTGAGCCTCCAGTGCCTGGCTGGATAGTCTTGTTTTATGTAGGAGGAATCTGAGGCAAAAAAGATAAGGGAATTGCCATAACAGAAAGCAGAAAAATTTTAGTGCAGGCATCAGAGCCTTTAACCCTAACCATACATGAGGCTCTCTCTCCCCTACAGTCAGTCACACATGGGACACAGGTCACTAGACTCGACTATGTGACCAATGAGTCAGGGCCAGATGGATTCGGAACAGGCAGGAACACTTCAAAATAGATGATTTCTGTTTTAAAAAAAATAGAAGCAGTAATTATCACAGAAAAAGAAAGGCATCCTAGAACCTGTTAAGAACAGAAAGTAGACAGCCTACAGATGGAGGCAAAACCACACACACTTGTAAAATTCACAGACACAAGACCTCAAAGCCACATTGGGTAGAATCAAGCTCTGGTTTCCTCTGATTTTTTTAACACTACTTTATAAATGGACTTAAAAAATTGAGTCCGGTCATGAAAATCCAAGTCAAGAATGGATTAGATTAGATTCAACAGACAAAAGCAAGGACAGTATTACTATGCTACGGAAATATCCCATCACAAAATTAAAATGAAGCCAGGCACAGATGGCTCACATCTTAAGCCAGGCACAGATGGCTCACATCTTTAATGCTAGCAACTCAGCAGGCTGAGGTCTAAGAATCAAAGGTTTGAAGACAGCCTGGGCAGACAAAGCCTTGAGAATCTTATCTTGAATAAACCACAAAAAGCTGGAAGCAGAGGCATGGATCAGGTGTTATAGTACCAGTCATTAATTAAAAAGCAGAGCAAGAGTGCAAAGCCCTGAGTTCAAACCCTGGTACTGGCAAAAAAAAAAAAAAGTTAAAAATTAAAAAAAAATAGTTCTGGGCTGGGAAGGTGGCTCAGTGGTAGAGTGCTTGCCTTATATGCTTGAGGCCCTGGGTTCGACTCCTCAGCACCACATAAGCAAAAGAAAAAAGCCGGAAGTGGTGCTGTGGCTCAAGTGGTAAAGCGCTAGCCTTGAGCTGAAGAGCTGAGGGACAGCGCCCAGGCCCAGAGTTCAGGCCCCACAACTGGACCCCAAAAAAAAAATAGTTCTGTGGGAAATTCACATGCATACCACCACATAACCTAATGACACCAGTTAAATAATAATATCTTTTCATATTTTAATGGATTCATTTTTCTAAGAAATCATTTTAACTTACACCAGTGGCTAAGAGCGTGTAGAACAAATTTACAATGATTCTTTACCATGTATGACAGAATATAGCTATTAGCACTACAGAAAGCTGTTGGCTTTATCCAGATATACCTAGTTTCCCTAATGTCCTTTTCTATTCTGGGACCACACGCAGGATCATGTCTCCTTTGTCTCCCTCTAATGTGACAGATCCTCTATTTCTCCTTGTTTTTTGTGACTTGACACTTGTGAAACATCCTGGTTGTTTTATAGAACACTCTCGACTTGGGTCTGGCTGATGCTTTTTCGTCGGTACGAGGCCTTTTAGACCAGGCTTTGGGATTGGGGGTAGAAGTCC